GATGATGATGATGATGATGATGCTGATGATGATGATGGTGGTGGTGGTGGTGATGATGGTGCATGGTGATCATGTAGATGATGCTGATGCTGATGCTGGTGCTGCTACTGATTATGCTGGCAACGTTGGGGACATGCGGAGGGCAAAAGCAGATATGCGCGGAGGGAGGAGGGGGACGAGGAAGGTGAGGAGGTGACGCGGGGAGCTGCGGATTCAAACCGAGGACCAAACACCAAAAGATGATTTGGTGAAAAACTACCGCTCCATCTGTGTAACAGCTGCACAATCTCAAAAGACTGGTAATCAACTCTGAGGAAGTCTCTAGCGAGAGCCCCATGTTGAAAAGGAATCGTCCCCACCCGTGCACATGTTACACATGTTCAAGCTTCTGGCCTTGACCTTCAAGAACAAGAACATCTGAAGCGATAACTCCATTCGGAGAGGACCCGTCTTCCATCTCTGTAACGGCTATGTACTTCCAGGACGAATGGGTGCGGCGCTATGGCGATATCAACATTTCGAAAATGAGCCGTCCATCGTCCATGAAACTGATGCACACTTACAAAACGAACGTGAGCGAAAGTGCGCGGCGCTACTGTGCGCGAGAGTGACGGGGGGAAACTCGCGTGGGAGCGCGCCTGGGAGCGCCTGGGAGTGCCTGGGAAGCGCCTGGGGAGCGCCTGGGAGCGCCTGGGAACGCCTGGGAACGCCGGGAAGCGCTTGGGAGCGGCTGGGAGCGCCTGCGAGCAGAAGGGGAGTCAAACCAGGTCTCCCCCCGCATGCCTTACAATTATCGGGGAAACGTGAGACTCGGGTTCGGGGGACTCGGGTTGGCCTGACGGGGTCATCATGAAGGTAACGAAACCCAAACTACATGTTGACGCGAGCTCCCGCTGCACACGTCCCTCGAAAACTGGAACGTCAAAATCCAGGACGCGCTCGTCCCAAAAGCCACAAACAGTGACAAGCCTCCCGTCGTGATTTTTGTCCACAGCGCGAAGGGGGGTTTGGGACGCCAGGATCTCAGGGTGGAGCGCCCCCGCCCTCGCGCCCTGCGAGCCAAAAATAGTGACAAACCTCCCGTCGTGATTTTTTCCACAGCGCGAGGGGGGTCTGGGACGCCAGGATCGCAGGGTGGAGCGCCCCCGCCCCCGCGCCCGGCGACCCAAAAATAATATGACAAACCTCCCGTCGTGATGTTTTCCAGAGCGCGAAGGAGGGTCTGGCAGCCCCCGCCCCCGCGCCCGGCCGCGCTGCGGCGCCCGGCCGGTCCTCCCGCGCCGCCTCGTCTCGGCGGCGGAGGCGCGAGGGGCGCGCGCGCGCGGCCCTGAGATCCTGACGTTAGGTCGGGCACGTCCCCCTACATTTTGGACGCCCGAAATGGGTACGGAAAAAATGGGTACAATGCCCAACAGCAAATGTTGTCGTCCCAAACCAACAGCGGCCGCTGTTGGGCAGGCGGCGTTCTGTCTCGAATGGACACAGGCCGCGGCGGCGTGGACAGCGAATCTGGTTCAAAATGAACAGGAACTGCTGTTGGGCATTGTACCCATTCTTTCCGTGCCCATGTCGGGCGTCCAGGTACATGCTTTGGAAAAAATGCAGAAACGTCCAATCATATTCAAATATAGTGGCTCCGGGTTTCTGAATAGGCGTGGGGGGGTACCCCCCGGCGTCGGTCAACCTCGCCTCGTCGTCGCGCCGCGGCGGGGGTCGGAGCGCCTTCGGCGCGCGGTGGCTGCCCGCGACGGGGGTTGATGTAGGGGCGTCACCCCCCCGACGCTTGTTAAGAAACTCGGAGTAATTGAGCATCGTCGAAACATCGCCCCCAGACTAGTTGTTACTACTCTCGAGAGCAGGTCCTCCTGGAGAGGGACATGGCCGACCTGCCCCTGGCGCCTCGCTTCTTGTCGAACGGGGGGCGCCCTCGCCAGGCCTTGGGCCCTGGGCCCTCACGGGTCGGTGCGGCTCGACAGCTGGCGCAAGCAGGTGGGGTCTGGGGCCCCCGTCGTTGCTCTTTGGTGGGGGTCCCTCCGGCTTCCACGAGGGCTCCTTGTTTGCGGGGGCGCCCCTGCGCGGTCAGCGTTCATTCGATGCTTTCTTTGGCGGCCAGCCGTGTTGCCAGAATGTCCCGCTGCAGGGGTCGGTCGGCCTTTCGCGCCAGGGAGCCCAGCCCCGCAAATGAAAACGTTCGGGCATGCAAAAACCGATAATTTTGTCGGGACTTGGGGCCCGCCTGAGAAGGCACCCGCCGTCCAAGAAGGCCCCTGCTATCTCCGAAGGCCCCCCCCCTGGCGTTACCTCCTCGTGCGCGGCGCCAGTATTCCTCCTCTTGGCTTATGTTGCCCCCATCGTACTTCAGGACCACATCCCAGATATGATTTCGAGCGCCCAGAAAAGTATCGAAACAGTGTCGAATGAGCATCGCACCCCAGGGCCCGACACGTGAAAACCCTCAAGTTTCGGTCCTTTCTTGGCGCTGCGGCGCTGCAATTCTTTC